CGGAAGAAACTTTGACCTTCTGAGCTGCATTAGTGAAAGGGCAGTTCTAGTGAGAGCTGGAGATAAGCTGAGAGCTAGTTTGGCCTCAAGGAGCTTTTTTTTTCCTTATTGGGAAACGTGTCAAAGTCAGGAGGGTGAAAAAGGCTTTAAAAGAAGTGGCCTTGAAAAAATTCCTCATTTCCTGTCCCCTCTGACTTTCCTCTTTGCTTACACTGTTGTGGAGAGACCCATCCCTCTTCATTCTGGATGTGCTCCATCTCTGGCAAGCAGGAGGGATGTGGGAGCTGACATAATGCCGCTCCCCAGGTTCCATCGACACCAGTTTGTACATCTGGCTACTCAAAGAGGTGTCCTGTTGAATCTCATGGCGAGATTTGGACTTTATACTTTTTGAGGAACTCATTCATGGCATTTATGTGCACATCTTCTGGCTTGAACACGTGTCTCACTCAGCGTAACGTCTCCGAGATTGTTGGAAGGTTTCAGCTGTAAGAAACAGGCTTGGGAGAGATCCACTGAGCCCAGGAGCACTGAGTTGTTAGCTCAGAATTTCTGGTATATCTCTTGTGCAGTTTTGCTGTTGGAATCACAATATGTTACCTCGTGGCTGGGCCACAGATGAAAATCTTCTGGATCAGGTTAAAACATCCCTGGAACCTTCAGAAAATGACAGGATCGCACCAATGTCCTTTCCTGCTGGGTTGATTCCCAGAGCATCATAAATGAAATGCTGACTGACTTGAGTTGTCCTAATGGCATCTCCAGATGGCATCAGAAACACAAAGCAGGGCTGGCAAAGGCCACCGAGGCTGACGCAGAGTGAGAGGGGTGGACTGGGGCCTTTTCCAGCTGAGCGCAGACAATCTGCAAGGATCTCACCATTCTGTGTAAATTCCAATATGTGATTCCATCCCTCCCTCTGAAATGATAAGACACATCACATAACAGTGCATATTCGTGCTCACGAGCTTTGAGTCTGATTATCGATCCCTTTCCTTCTCTGAGCAGTTTATGAAATCAATGCCATTGAGTTTTCCCCCCCCCCTAATTATAACCAAGCGTCAGTTCTCTAAACTGTGGTCATTCAAGAAAATTTTTGCTCTAATATCAAACAAGCACAGTTTTGATGCACAGCAACCAGATCTGTTAACGCAGCCTAAGGTTTTGTTGTCTGGAAATCCTCCATTCTAACTATGACATCTAGGCTGCTTCAGACAAAGAGCTATTGTTCAGTTCCTCTTGTTGACTTTCTCCATACCGTGTTATCGAAGCAGAAAAGACACTTTCTTTTGTAATGGTTAAGAAGAGCACATCTGTTTGCTGGCTGCCTCAGGGAAGCTTTACCTTTCCTGACACCTAATAGTGCTGCCTTGTTAGAAATAACAGAAAAAAACCAAGCACAAAATGAAAAAGCGATCCCAACCTTCCTCCATTCCCCCAAATTCTTCAGCAGCAATTTTTTAGCAATTCCTAGAAAGTCAAAATGGAAGAGGGAACCACAGATGTAATCGTATTCAAATGCCAATACAGGGGCACGACCTACAGAACAAGACTCGAGAAGTTGTGCAGGGCAGTCTCAGGTTAAAGCTCTTGTAACGCAACTTGTTTGCATCAGACTTCGACTTGACTTTCTCTTAAAAACACCCTGAGGAGATGTTAAAGGAGCTACAGTGCAGTGACCCACCTGTAAAGTCAGCTGATGTACAGAAAGACGTGACAGATGGGCGCATCTTAAACTGATTCCAGTTGCCACAGTGGCTTCCTCGATCATTTCATCATGTTTTGGTCCAGCTGTTTTTCTCTTCATTTTCACCACCTTTCTGTTCTGATGTCCGGTGGTTGCAGTGCTGCTGCGAGGTTGGGAATGGCTCTCACCTTCCTGAGGCTTTGAGATCCCTGGCAGGTTTCAAAACGCAATGGAAGGTGGTTTGTCTTGGCTTTGCAAAGGTATTCCAACGCTGAGCCTCTTTGTGCTGAAGAAGCACGATAGTGGTGGTGCATTTGGCTGCTGCAGAGATCTTGCTTGAGAACTCGGTGTGTTTTTTAACACTCGCCTGCGTTGTATTATAAAACTCTACACCTGGAAAGATCTCGTGAGCAGGGAGAGGACGGAAGCTCTCTCAGTGTTTAAAACAACATGGTTTCCTTGTAATAACTGTGCTCTGTAAGGTCTTTGGATTTCCTAAGAGAAACAAACCTGATTAAAAGGTGACTGAAAGAATCAGCAAACGTTACTTGCGTAATAAAAACGTAGATAAAGCTTGCACAGTTGGAGGTACTGGAAAAAAGGTAAGAGTTACATATGCCTAAGGTTGTAAGGTTGCGTTGCTTCCTGGATTTTGCTTTTCCCCACCTTCTTAATTTGCTGTAGCAGCGAGGGCTCTGACTGCCCAACCCTCAAATGCCACCTTGTGACAGTTGGCAGCTGATGGGCTCGTGCCATTAGGTGCAAATAGAAGTGAGGACTCTTCTTGGTAAGTGACAGCATTTGATAATTGAGAAGATCCCAAACGAAGGACAGCTGTAGGTTGTATTCTTTTTTTTTTTGTTTGTTTGCTTGTTTTCCCTTTCTCTTTTTTCTTCTCCAAACAGCGAGGCTTTCTAGCTTGTGCTATATCTGCTGCTTGCAGACCATGATCCTGAGATGCCATTACCATCTTACTGGGCAGCATTGGATGTTCTCTGTTTTTCTAATACTGCCTGGTAATGATGATTATGGTGTTTCGTGTACAACGTGGAAAAGTTCAACAGCGAATTTGGAAGCAGAGGTCAGTGGCCAATAGAGAAACCCAAGTGTGATTTACTGCCCATAGCTGGGGAGATCTGACAAATTTATGGTGAAACGCTTCAGGTTATAGAAGAAGGGGTAAAAGCAAGTATAAGAAAGTCATCTTCCTGTAGAATTATGAATCTCAGAGTGAGCCTGGGAACAGAAAATCATGCAGAATACAGAGCATAGCACGTGTTTGATGTTGCAATGATAGAATACATTCACATGAAAATGCTGAGCATTGTAGCATTCGGAGAAATGCAAGTGCTTTTCTCCAATTGTGTTCTATTTACTTCCAAGCCATGTTAGCTTTCCAGAGAACAAAAGCAAACATTTTATGAAAATTACCATTTGAGTTTTCTAGTTTATAATTTTCCCTCCAAACCAAAATGTTTTTCTAATCTAAATATAAGGCAATTTAAGGAACAGACAGCCGGAATCAATAGCGGAGTTCAGTTTTTCAGCCTTGCTATTGTCATTTGCTCTGTCCTTTTCACATCAGCTCCTCTAGACTTCTCTCCTCCAGTCGAATGCTCCAATAGCAAAACCATTTGTTTTAAAGCCTTCAGCTTATAAGTAACGGGTTTTTATTTTTATACACTATATATATTTATACATTATATATATTTTAATGCCAATTTCTAACTTCCTGGTGAAAAAGTGGGGCTGTTTTAAGTACCATTCTCCCTGATTATTTTCATTATTTTGGTGGGCTAACTTAACAATCTGTTTTAAGGCAGGGTGGACCTGACTCTTACTCTGCTATTTCTTTCCATAAATCGATGACACTGCTTAAAGCCATTTGGAAAGAACTAGCTCAGTCTAAAAGAACTTACTGTGAGAACGTTGTCTTCAGTGGTTCACAGACGCTTTTTGTTTCTTCCTGAGAATTAAGGCAATACAGGAAGCTTTACTCCCCCAGTTATCAGATATTGGAGGCGCAGCATGAAAGCTATCGCCAAGGAAGGACATCACTGCTGATAGGTGCTTTTGTCGGACACGGGGTGCTGTGGGCAGGTGTGTCAGCGTCCCTGGCAGGTAGGAAGCACTCCAGAACACAGCAGCCCCACACACATCCCCAGGCTCCTTACAGCTCCTGGCGTGCTGTGGTGTTTAGATCCTAGCACAGAAGGCTGCTTGGTTTGTGAACGCCTATCGGAGTGCAAAGCCATCCACAGACACACAGCCCGGGTGAGACGTGCTGTGTGACAGCTCAGATCTATGCAAAGCTTGCACGTACTGTGTGAAATGCTGCTACTGTGTGAAACGCTGTGCTAGGGCCACAAAGGCTTGCAGGTACCTCAGGGCTATGATAAATATGCATGCAGCAGAGCAGCACGGCTCAAAGCAAAGCACTCCTGCTATCGAACCACAGTGCCTGAGAGGTATAGCCAGCTCCAAGGGGACAGGGAAGGAGCAAACCCTGCTGCCCCTCCTGCATGGGGAGAGGGTCAGCAACAGCCAGAACCCCAGCATCCCTACCACAACACAGAGCTCTTAGGTGAGGGAACGCCTCATGGCTCAGAGCTGGGCCAGATTTCTGCTACAGCAAACTTCTGGAAACAATAACATGAAGAAAAGCAGGCAGCTACCCTTCATCTTCATCATTAGCATTCATTGTGCTTAATTACACCACCAACAGTTGCAACCAACAGTTGTCACTTTGATTTAAGATTCAAATTTGTCTGCATCCCTTCAAGTCACGCCGTACAACAAAGGATCATCAATGAACTGCATTGAACACTGGCCCACCTCTGACACTTTTTTGTGCCCTTCTTAGTGCTGATTTGTTTGTACACCAGATTCCAGTTTGTCATCTTAACTGACTGGAACGACTTGGAGTGCTGGTATTTCTGTGAACCAAAAGGGAGAAGGGAACGAGGAAACTGAGAAACCAAAGGAAGGAAATCTGCCTGCTCTTACACTGTAATGAAACAGGACCTAATCTTGTGTTTCTATTTTAGATTTTTAATACATCAACTTTCTGCACCATCTTTGTCTCCTGAAATCCACCACGAACTTCAAATTGTCTTTTAGTACCAAACATCTTCCTTCTGCCCATCTCCTACCTGGTAAATTATTGACGAGCCAGGTGATGTAAGGCAATCTTTCTCAAGCCACTTTCATTAGTTTTTACGGACCACTGACATCGTGAAGAATGTGGAATCATTAAAATAGATGCTCCATTTCTCCAGCTGCTGGACAGACAATGGTCCTCTGTGGGCATCTTACTAGACAGTGCTGGATTTCTTGGATCTATTCTAACACTGTCTGGTAACGATGTTTAAAGGGTGAACCAAACAACACCATGCATCAGGAGGAGTTCTCAAAGAAAGACACTGTGCCACAATTTAGGTCGAATTGGAACATTTGGCCAAGAGGGTAAGGATGTTGGCTATCGTATTAGTGAGTATTTTTAGACTTCTGAAATGGTTATGATCATAAATACTTATGACAAAGAAGCTGCTGCAAACCACCCTGCTGGGTGCTCCTACTGCAGTAAAGGAGGTGAGAAGCACGCCAGCTCTAGCATCCAAATGCACACCTCCTCAGAGGCACAGCACTGCACAATCCCTCCAAACAGTGGGGTTAGGGCTATAGGGTATTTGCATGGCCCAGCTCTTGTCCAGGGGACTGACAGATTTGCTAGCAGCCAGCCGTGCTTGGCTGTGAGAGGTGCTCAGGGCAGGACGCTGGTGGTAAAGGTCGTTCTTCCCAATTACAGTTCAATTACTTCCACGGCTGAACAGCCTGTGAACTTTCAACCTTCTAACCTGCCCCCATACAGGCAGCGCTGGCAGCATATGGAGCAGGTGGGTTAATCACTCTAATCATCCCATTAAGAAACAAAGCAATTTAACCCAGGCAAGGAACTGAATGCTTACCCTGCTCTACCTAACCAAGCAGAGGGACATGAACACATGTCACAGCCAATGTGAGTTAATGGTACTGCAAGAACACGTGCTGATGTGCAGCCTCGTATCTCTGCTTGGGTCCTGCCTTGACACCCTTAGTTGTACCAGTATGATGGGGCAACTGGACTGGGCCCACTCAAAAATGAAATTCAGTCTGCACTCAACACAGAGAGAAGGTGAGTCTAAAGCCTGGAGCTGCCCAGACCTCAGGATCATATCCCACATGATCCTTCCACATTTAAAGCACTGATTTCCTTTGAAAGAGGATTATCTAGAGCAGTAGAGTTAACAAACCAGTAACTTTGATATAATTCAAATCTGGATGAAAATTGGAGCATGGTTGACCTTCAGAGAATAAGAATTCACATCGGGCCTCATTAACAGGGCACTGTATGAGCTGACACTCACCTTTTCACAAGGATGGTTGGTGCCTCTCAAATTTTGGGGTTCCTGGGGACCCGCCCTGGTCTGGGACAGTGCACAGACCTCATGCTGGTTTTTCAGAATTGCACCCACTGGTTTTCAGCTCCCTGCTGTAAGAAACATAGGGCAACATTACACACAAGCTTGGACCGTGCTTCTCCCCCCAGTGCTTTACATAGGCTCGCAGGACTGCTCTATGCTGGAATCACAGCACTGAAACCTTTTCCTCATCCTCAGCTTAGTGCTAATCCCCTCCCTCCCTCCTGGATAAAACAGGTACAGCAGCCCAGAGGCACGCAAGCGAAAAACTCTCCAACCTTTCCTTTCCATGCCTTTCCAACCCTGTCCAGTGCAATGCCATACAAAAACTGCCATGTAATATAGGAACAGCAGAAAAACAAACCAAAGGCAGCTCCCACAGAGCTGCTCTTGCCCTTGCACGTTGCAGTTCTCAGGAAAACAAGAGCAGGAGGGAGCAGAGGAGCATTCTTTGGTGATTAGCCTCTGTGTGACTTATTAACTGGCTCACAAGGGATTGAGGAAATGGTGTGAAATTTGAGTGGTTCTGCAAATTAGCTTTTAACAAGCATTTAAATAAGATGAATTGGAACACGCACCCAACTCCCATCCAACTTCTCTTCTTAAAACTCAATACGGATGCTAACCTTGGATGGATTAAAAAAAAAAAAAAAGATGATAACAATAATTGGGCATCCCTGGCATGCACAGGGATGTCACCTTAAGTTAATAAAAAAGGAATGGAACCAAGGAAATTCCCTTGCCCTCCCCCAGGCTGATTTATGCTTAGGAAAGCGTCCGCTCAGCCTTATCTAGGCAAGAACAGTGAGTCATGGGAGTCAGGAGCAACCCAGCGAAATCCCCTCGGCCTCAATATCTTCCCCTCCCTCCCCATCTCCCACCAACGTTCAGTTTGCTTAGCTCAGTTCCACAGCAGAGCGATTCCATGGGCAGCACTGATGCTCACTGCAGTAGAAGAGCTAAGACCCGGCCTGCCCTAGGCTGAACTCCATCTAGGGGTTTAATATCGATGAGAGCACAGCTGTGGGGTGCAGCTGAACCACTTCTGCATCCCTGCTGGGTGACGGAGCTGCAGGACACGGGGATGGTGAGCGCCTCACAGCAACGTGGATGCGGAGGATGCAGCCGGCGGTAAGTTCAGCAAGTACTGTTCAGTATTTTTTAGTTCTCATGCCAGAGAACTGCAAACAGTTGTGTTCTCACGATTGTACTGCCTGTACTTCAAGTTAAATATTTACTGGTTACTGATGTGTCTACGGGAGAGGCCCTCAGCCTTTCCCCGCCCCATCACTTTAGCCCTGGAGCTGGAAGAAGTGCTCTCACGTTGGTTTCCTTTAGCTTGAGCGCCTGCTGATTGCTGTCTTACCAGGCAAAGTTAGATCTAGCTATTTCTGTCTAATACTGTCTGGTAATGCCGTCAATCGCATCGGCAAAAGTCTTCGCCTTGAGAGAAACACGGAGAGAAAAGCTTGCTTGGGTCAGAAGAACCAAGGAGGTTTGGTGCCTGGGCTGGAGGCTCACCCACACGCACCGCTTCTGCTCACAGCCGAGGTGTGCTGTAACAAAGTGCAGGGAGAGGAGGAAAGTCAAAGAGCATGCAGTCAGCACGCAGGCAGGGCGGGCAGGCAGGCAGGGCAGGCTCCTGTACAGCTAACTGTACGTTGGTGACTTTTGGACCCGTTATCAGGTCTCTCTGAAAGGCGATGGGCAGAGCTGCACCAAGCCTGGAGCACTGAGAAAAGCCTTTCTCCAGGAAGGACAACCTGTGAGAGCATTGCTTGAGGACGCAGTGAGCACAGCTGGGCTGAGCGCTCCCAGGCTCAGCACAGAAAACACCAGGAGGTGCTTCAGACATTTGTCTGGGTGACTTCAGGCCGATTTGCCATCTGACTTCACTCTCTGTTTAAGCGGCTGCTTCTGTTAGGAAATCATTTGTTAAATGAGCAAAACTCCACGACAGATCAGTCCGTCGTGGTACTTCTGATAAGGGTTACTTAATTTTTATGCCGATAGAAAAGTGCTTCCTAAAAGTGCCGTTAAAAAAGGGGTCTGCAAAGCCCTCAGTTCAGCACATCTTCTGTTTGGGATGCGGTTAAGCTATAAGGTGAGCTTCCTGAAGGGTGCTCTGGTTCTGCTCCAGCCAAAATTCGCTCTGCCCCCAGTGAGAGCAGCCATAAGCCGTGCCAGCAGCAGCATTTCAGAGCAGCACAGCAGGATGCACTCCCAACCTCACCTGAGCAGCACTCTGAGGCACGACAACGAGGATGGCACAGCTCTCTCAGTCAGCCCAGTCTCACTCAATGGTCAGGAATTTGCCATGAGGAAATCTCCTTACCCCAAACTGCTCAGACAGTGCAGATGGTATCTCCGTCCTGCTTACCGTGACTCATGCTGGCAAGTCTCATTTTGCAGGGTACTAGTGATAGCCCTCTCCACAGCACAGCTCTTTCACAGGAACTTGTTGCTTCCTTTGATATATCGCAGCGTCTCCTCAAGACAATTTTATACACTTGCAGTGCTATTCCTGATCTGCAGCTGCTGGACTCTTTGTTTTCCTTTCGTCTGCGTGCACTCCTCATCCAACACCTCTACATGTCAGAGGAGTTGGAGTTTCTTATCGAGGATCCCATTTCTGTTTCTCTCTGGTGCTCAAGCGTCCTTTTGGAGTTCAGGCATTTTCCTTGAAGTGAAACAAGCCCGATTTCAGCAGCACTGCCCTGGGCTGGTTATCTTTAAAAGAACTGAAAACAAGAACTACCTCCTCTTCACAAAATGGGTTCTTGGTAAGTTGGTAATAACAAAAACCAAACAACACAATGTCCTGGTTAGGTGGTTTCAAAGGGTGACTATGGACAACACGTTCTCAAAGAGAATGAAGATACAGCTACAGTCCTTACTGCTCTAAATACGTTCACATATTTATGTTACTAATTACTGTAATCACAATGATGAGTTTTTTATCATTAGAATCCACATGTGTGGATAAACACTCCAAGATTTTCTGCACAGAAGCAGGAATAAAAGTTTCTGGCTGCTATCACATAAATGCAGGCGCATATCCTACGTGCCACTGAACTTGCTCTTTCAATGCCTTAGAAGTTATGTTGTGTTTTTAAACTCTATGTTTAATAAAAGGCTTATTTGGAAACAATACAGAATTGTGCTTCCCTCCCACCATGCATATGCACTGGTGATGCTTCCTCATGCTGCTCATCACCGGGAAGAAGGGCTCAAGAGCAGGCTGTGTTTGCTGTCACAAGGCCATGCAGAATGCCCTTCATTTCACCAGACCAACACACTGCACACATTGCAATCAAACTGCCGAGTATTACCTGCATGCTACATCGGGAAAACTCAGACACACACAGCAAATAACTTGTTCAGGCAACGGCAGGAGGAAAGAACCAAGAGACTTTGTTGTAGACTCCAAGTATTCAGGCGTCTCATTTGGCTTTAACTTACCAACATTAATGTTTAACGTACTGCCATGGCAATGCGTGCGCTTAAAAGAAAGTTCTGCATCTCCTTTCCCCTCCTTGTAATTAAGGATTTTAAAAGCAGGTGAAAGTAAAACAGGGATTTCTAAAAGGCAGCTGAGAAAAGGCAAAGAAAAAGCGTTAATTACCCCAACACTTTGCGTGAATCAAAACATTTAACTGGAAAAACAGCTTGAACTCTGCTAAATACTCGGTGACTCATCATGGAGCAATAAAAAAAAAAGTTCAGTTCGTTAAAAACAGCTCCTAGCAACCATCAGCACGGGGAAAGCCCAACCAACACCAAGCGCTGCTCTCGGTAGGGCACACGGGCATTTCAGAACCCAGAGCAGCCCCAGGCTCCCTGCAGGATGCTGTTTGGATGCCCGGTGCCATTAATGCTCCATGCCTCCTTCAGGAGCTCTGCTGGGAGAAGCACTTTTCTTTTCCCTTTGTCAGTTTATTTCAGGTGGGTGGGGTGAGCTGCCAGGGCTGTAAATTTAACGAGCACCTCTTGGCACAACCGCTGCAATCCAAACTGATTCGGGAGCAAAGTTCAGGACATTTACACTACAGAAACTCCAAGTGCATGATATGATTGTTTCGCTCAACTCAAGTAGATTCAAGCACAAGTTCCTTAAGAAATAACGTGCTTTTACCAAACTATCTGCCTTTTTCAAGACAACGGTGTTTTTTTTCCCCAAACCAGGTAGCACACAGGATCAAAACTACTCCTAAATTCAGGTTACAGTGCCCCTGGGGCCAGCAGGGCACACAGGGTGGGTCTGGAGGGACCAAAGGGTCTGATATGGAGAAAGGTTCCCCTTTAATCTCGGTGTCTGAAGGCAAATCACTTAATGGGCTGTGTTAAACCATTACCTGGATCCCTGCAATTGGAAGCCAACACTGGGGAGAGGCTGAGCAAACACTCTGGGGAGAGAAGCAGCCTCATTTGGATTGCTAATTTTATTTGCATACCAAACACCACTTTAAACAAACCGTTTGGATTTCTGTGTGCGAGCCTAACTCGTTATTCACTATCTGCTATTTGATGACTGTGAGCCTACCCTTTCAATAAACACTTGCAGCATGCGAGAAAAAGCTCTGGCTATAGGGAGCCATGAACAAAAGTGGGACACAAAGTTAAAAACACATCGCTCAGCTCGCTGCCTCCTCCTTGGCCTTTATCTCCTCAAAACAGGGCTTGGAATCAGGGCTCTAGAACTGCTGGAAACAAAGGCACTGCCTGTAAACACAGACAACAGGCAAAAGACAAGAGGAAGCTTGAGCTGACTGCAGTAGAACGCTCAACAAAAGGAGCCAGCACGTGTTTAACTCTTACCTAACAGCAACCGAGAAGTTGGGAGTTCCTGGGTCGGTGGAAATAGATGCTGAAGTCATTTTTCTCCCAGCTCAGAGGTGAACAGCTACTCATGAAACCCACAGCCATTCCACATGGAGGCTATCCGCTCCCTTTGGCCTTTTATTGCTGTTTAGTGACCAGCTGAGCCCACCGTGGCCATCAACATGTCCAGCTGAGCTGATGGGGGCTAACTGAGCATCTTATTAAGATGCATAACAAGGGGATCTTCCTCATCTGAAGCTGCAAGAGGCAGGGTGAGCGGTTCCAAATGACCAGCTATGCCGAATAAATGCTTTCCGTGGTGAGAAAATATAAATAGCTCTCAGCACGGCCCGTGGGATGGTCCTTGTGGTTTGTGCAAGTGGTGATTGACAACATGCATGAAAATTTGGCCCTGTCTGACGGTGTGAAGCAACTACTTTTGTAGCCCGCTTTGCAAGGAACTCACAGCAACAGATGGGGCCCTGTCAGGGTTTGAAGAGCTTCACAAGGCAGAGAGAGAGAAATAACCAGGCTGACACGGAGCCAACAGCAATCAGGTTGCCCCTACACTCCGCTTTAAGGGCTTTTTTTCCATCTTGAAATGCTGTCCATCTTGAATTCTGTAGGAATTCTGGAAGTCATCTCTCCTGGCAGGAAACCAGCACTGTGCTCCTGTGATGGGTTCCTCCAGCTCCCACTGGTTTCTGTGAGTTACTGCCTGCTGCTGTTTCCTGGTTTTTCTTCTGGCACAATGTAAGGCAGGCAGGGTAAACAGGTGGCAGGTAAAAGGCTGATCGATACTGGGCTTTGTTGTGTGGCACAGAACAAAGGCTGTGCTCACAAAGGCTCCTATCCCTGGCGCATAGCAGTGTCACCAAGCTTCAGGCTTTCAATGGTTCTGTGGCCTTTCTGGGAGGTAGGAAGAAGTGCTGGAGGCTGGCCCTGGAACGAGGTCAACGCTGTGTTTCTGTATCACTGGGATAAAACGTTGGTTCAAGGCAGCAACACTGTCAGCAGTGGTGCAGAGCAGAAAGTAGGTGTGTTAGCAGAGTGCAGCGGGCAGAAAAGCGAAGAGCTGTTCCTCCTGCCTGCGCCACTCCTGCTTTTGTTCAAGCAGAACATTCACAGGGCTTACATGCAGCCTCGTGTCACTTTTGCCCCATGGCCACCAAACGCAGAGGGTCTGCAGCGTTACCAGCTGGTTCCACTGAGCTGCAGAGCAAACATCCTGCCCTCAGCAAAGCACACTCCTCCTTCATTGCAAGCAGCCCTCTGCTTTGTTCTTCACAAAGCCATCTGCTACGCAGAGAGAGCTCCAACACAAGTGGATTTTGTGTGCCACTTGCAGCCAAGCACCTGCAGCAGCAAAGAGCATCCACAGCACGGCCAACTGGGAAAAAAAATGCAGTGGGCTCCCTGCGGTCTTCCCACAAAGGATCTGGCAGGTCTTCTGCAAGCCCGGGGACCAGGGTAGGTTGCAGGACCTTCCTCGGATGCTGTGCTCAGGAAAGGTCATGCCAATAAATGGGAAAAGCCAGGGAAACAGGAAAGGATTTCGTGTTTATCTGGGTGGGAGCTGGAGGTGTCTGGAAGGAAATGGCTGGAAGGTGCTCAGGTGGAACCCTCAGTCTATTTGTGGAAAAGGTGAGCAGACTGTGCCCTGTCTTCCTTGACGCCTACCAGCAAGTAATTGGCCAAAGTCACACACAAGAGCTGTTTGCTTTCCTTCTTTCCCACCTTTCTTTCTGCCGCTGCCACACCTCAGGGGCTGGATTTGGCTGGAGCCACCTGTCCCTTCTTAAATCACAGCTCTGAGTCAGAACAAGAGCAAGATGTCAGGAATGGGTCAGCACAAACGCAAAGCAATAGCAATAAAGCAGAAGAGGAAGGTACATTTTCTAGGACGTATTGCCAGTTTTCTCAGAACACCAACACAAAGCCAGCTGAAACCCAGGGAAGGTTCCCTGGGCTTTGAGCCAACCTCCTTTCCCCACAGTTGTAGAATCTGTCCCCTTCTGGACCACTGAGCTCACGCCTTTGCTGCTGCTCTCAAGCAAGACTGCAGGTGCCCAGCAGTCATGGAATCATAGATGTTGGAAAAAACACTAAGGTCATCCAACTCTCAGTGCCGAAAGATAGCCCTGCTATGGAACTATAGAACCATTTAGACTGGAAAAAAAAAACCCCTTAGATTATTAATTCCAACCATCAACCTAATGCTGTGATAAATCTGGAAGCGCTGTGCAGAGAATTCACCTACACAACATGAGTTCTCATTCAGCAGCCAGCACGAGAGCTTGGATTGTCGTCTTCTCCCTCCACAGCTCTGCTAAGCATTCAGTCTGGGGTTAATCATTAATTCCCCCAAGTCTGCAGCCCACATGCCTGCTGTGCTGGGAGCTGGGAGCAAGGCAGGGCACAGCCTCACCTGTGCTTTGTTTTGGGGTGGGTGGCACAAGGATGCATTATTTAATAAACACGTCAGAGTAGTTCACAATTATTCATTATTGTGAAAGTCTACAATACAGAAATACCTTTCCATCATACAGGTGAGAAGACCAAAGCTTGGAAAAGTTGTATGCATTTCTTCCACCTCATGTTGGCTTCTCCTTTCCTGATGGTTCTGTAGCTCCTTGGCAAAGCACCGCTACTGCTCGAAAACAGCAATGAAACATTAGGAGGAAAAAAAAACCCCAACAATAAAGACCATACAGATCAACCACATCTTGGCTCTATGGATACTCTGGGAATTGTTTTGTGTGCGAGAGCTTGGGGGGGCAGCAGCCTCCCAAACGTTGTTTGCTATTCTGACCATCAGCATGCAGTGGCAAAGGGCGCTCGGTGCACACAGCAGTGCATGAGTCACTCCCCAGGCAGCTCCAAAGGCAGGAGATCGCCCCCAATGGAGCCTGATCCCACGGCTCAGCACCGTCCCAGCAAGACAGCCTCAGGCCTGCACACCACAACCAGGAGCCAGGGGAGCTCCAAGCCTTCCCTCCTCAACTAGCTGTAGGTTTCCGCCCTCAGGTTGCATCCATTTATAGCAAGAAAAGCCCAGAGCAGAGGGTTGGAACTGAATGATCTGTAAGATCCCTTCCAATCCATGCCAATCTATGGGTCTATGACAAGTGTGACGTTACTGTAGTAATACTCACTGCCACGTTTGTGCATCGTGCACTCTGGCAGATGCAGCCATTGGGTGGTAATAGAGGAAGATGCAAAACCTCCAAGCTCTGCACTTGCCAAGATTGGTTCCCTGTCCTTCATGTGGTGCCCATAGGGTTTCCAGAAACCTGATTCCCAAAACCGAGGACTCAAATGCTGTTTATGTAGCAAATCACAGCACAGAAACTCCTTTGGCAGAAGAACTGCCTTGAATTAAACATGTGCAGTCTTAGCATAGCTATAACCGTACCTGTGCCAGCGACACGCGTTCTTTTCTATTGCACATTAATTTTTGAGAGTGGTTTTCCACCATCACAGAGGATTATGCAGTCACTTTGGCTGTCATTTCTGGCGTTTAAGCCGATTGGGCAAGTTGTGAAAACTCAGCAGATTTTGGAGGCATTGCATTCCTGCAGGCTGAGCGACAGCAGGGCTGAATGCCTCCAGCTTGCCCAAAGCAGCAGCCACAACTCTCCCTGCACTATGGTTAGCACTCTGGTCCAAACAGCAAAGAGCAGGAAATCAGGCCTCCAAAGTGCATTTAAAATCATCTGTGTTAGTCTCACAAAATACAGAGCATAAATAAATCCTCCAGGTTCCTCTGGTCATAACCTTTTAGTTCAGCGCCTCCTTCATTGCAGCCTCTCCCTTCCAACAGTGAGGCAACATTTCCTAGAGGGTGTAACGATGGTTGGAAGCATTGCAACACGTCCACCCTCCTGCTGCACATTGCTCCCTGGGTGACTGAGCTGGATGCCAGAAGGAATACAGGAAGGTGGAAGAGACAGCCAGGACAGGACCCTGCCCTGCTCTGCGGGAGCTCCAGAGGCATTGTGTGCATGAGCAGGAAAATACAGAGAACGTTCCCGAAGGTCGCAGTGACACCAGGACGAGTGCCAGTGTATTCACACTGCCTGGAGAGGGGCTGACACTGAGCCAAACCCCACCTGCCACCCTTTTTATTCATCCCTTTCTTACCAAGGAGGCAAGGAGAGGTGTCCTTACATGGAAATACTTTTTTTTTTCCTTGCCTCTCTCTTGGTTTTTTTGCTTTTTGTGGCACTGCTGTTCCATGGGAGCCCAAGAGCAGAGCTGTTGTCTGCATTCAGTGCAGACCTCGCGTGGTTCTCTCTGCTGGTGCCAACCCTACTCTAGCTGAGGTCACAACAAGCAGTCATTCTTTGCTCCTACATCTAAAGGACAGAGAGGAGTTTAAGGCTACTTAAATTGGCCTTTCTGTCTTGATGCTGTTAGCTGAGGCTCTGCGAGTGCCAAATGCTGTTATTATTGCTGGTTTTGTGGCACACAGCAGCTGCCCCCCCAAAAAAATAATCAAGGGCCCCATTGTGTCAGCCACTTTTCACTGCACTCAGACAATTCACAATTTAATAAAAACAAAAACGTAAGGGAGGAGACGCTCCTGTGGTAACAGGGATTTGCCAAAGTCACAAAAACAGGTCATTTCACCATAAAACTGGCAACTGCGTTTGGTTAGGACTTGGAGAAGAAGCCAAAACCACGGAATGGTTGCTTTTCTTTACTTATCCAAGCATTCCCAGACTCCTCGAAGAGTTTTGGGATGATGTGGGACTGCAGGACTCCTCTCTTCCTGCCTTTCTCTCCTCCTCCTTCCCTTTGCATCCCATTAATCCCCACTTACTGGAGGCTGCAGCTGGGTGACAGAGTACAACTTCCACAGGGAATCAGTGACCAATTCTTGGCAGTCCCTGGGGAGAAATGTCAGCTCTTTAGAAGTTTGCTCTTTAGAAGTTTGCAGAAGGATTTGCCTCCGTTCGCTACGGAAGCGAAAGGCCTAAGGAGGATTTAGAGCACTGATTTTGCCCTGCTGGCAGCTTTGATAATTTGATTTAAGTCCTGACAAATTAAACAGCACATGCTGCTCCGCGTATTTGTAGAACCCTCCAGGCATTCCAGCAGCAGAACCCCTCACCAGGCAGCTGTTGCTAGGAGCTGGGCTGTGTTTGTAGCACCGAAGGCTGCGGGATGGCGGAGCAGCGTGGGTGTCTGAGCTGCCCATGGGGCCCCACCACCCCTCCATCAATGCCAACAGGCCACCTGCGCTCCACTCCAGAACCTGTTCCATCCCAGGACTCTTTTGTGCTTCCCAAGCTGCTTACGACCTGTCCAGAAGTCAAGTGCACGTCCTCCAAGCTGAAGAAAGGACAGGGAGCAATTAAAGCACTCCTAAAATACTTAGAAACCGCTGAGCGCAGGTTAGAATTTCCATTATTTTTGGCAGCACAGGGTGTGGGTTTGGCCCCTGTGGGAAGGGGCTGAAAGGCAGCAAGGTGGGGCTGTGCAGAATGGCTCCCTGATCTCCGTGCAGCACCTTTTACACCTGTCCTTGTGTCAAACAGTTGCCAACCCTGCATCCAACAGCTTTCCTGGGTTGTGGCTTCTGTCTCCGCAAGGAACAACTCGTTTGCTGCTTTCACATCAATTGCAAAGACCAAAAAATGGGTTTTCAAGCTTCAAAGCTTCCTGTCATTGATCCCAAAGCTGAACACTGAGCCCTAGAGCTGCAAGTTGCACCTGCAGCCTGAACCTGCAGCTCAAAGCCACCCAAAAGCTGTAGGCAGAAGCTGGAGACATTCCCAGTTAACATCAATAACAAAATAAGGGGAAAAAAAATCTGCCAGACATGGGGAGACGGATCAACAGAGCAAAGACAAGGACCCCTCACTTCCCAAGTGCGGACCAGGATCTTTCCTCTTGCAGCCCGCGCTCTGCAATGGCCTCTGTGCCACCCAAGAGGAAGAGGAAGACCAGAGCCAAGCGACAGGGCCGTCACCAACAGCAGGCACCATCCTTATCCGCCAACAGAGGTAAATCTTGTGCCCTCATTTTTAACCATTAGGTGTTCTAAGTCTTATAGGTCGGAGTTGATACTGTGATCGAGAAGGTTACGTTTTCTGTACCTGGCCAAAGTGCTGGCCACCAACTTACAGCATTCTGGCACACAGTTTATACCTTTTTCAGGTAAGCCCCTTGAAAATATTTCTCCTACCTCTGAAGTGAAGCTTGACAAAGCCAGGCCTCATGAGAACAGAACGAATGGTAAGGCAAACCCTCAAGAAAAGCAGCCAGAAGAACTGATACGACAAGTTCCAATGGCATCAGGACCATATTTTTATGTCAGTGGATCTAATGGAGCAGGACTGTAAGTAGGTCCTCAGCAATATATGACCATACATCAAATTGCACTGCATCATCCATCAGCAAAGTCAAAAGGAAATGTTTCTATATGTACTGTCAGAATGACACATTCCAAGAATAGTTTAAGAACAATTCCGATGGAAAGTGCTTAATGGAAGACCAACTATAGTAAAGTAGCTAACTGTTACCTTTAAGCAAGAAACTGAACACTTCTACTTGTTTAATGGGAGTTCTCTGGGTTCCACGTAGCAAATCTGCCAGCATCATTGCAAGCTCTAGGCACCACTGCAGTCGATCGACCGTTCGTTGCCCTAAATGCACTACCAGCAAAAATAAGAAGACATTTATGCCCAAGAAAAATAGTCAGATCAGCAGTTCCATCTTTCACTTCCCGACTTCTTTCCAGTATATTGACATTCTTCTCTAGATGTTGCCACCAGCAAGCACCACAGAATCTCTATTGTTAGCAGCACATTCCTTGCTACTTTTCCAAGCTTTGCCCACCAGCTTTTCCTATTGCTATCTGTCATCTCTTCCTGCACTCAGCAGAGAGGCTCCTTAATGACACTGGACCATAATGCACAACATTCCTATTCCGTGGGTACCACTTGCATCCTAACTGAAACAACCCTGCTGAGAAGGTACAAGTTCTCATTAGCACTGCAGAATTACAGCATCCTGAGCACCCTCAGTCGTGAGTTCAGAGCAGCAGGTCCACTTGCAGCCACTCTAATTAATGTTTCCCCCCTTATTCCCCACCCAGGGGTTCTTGGGGGCGTTAGGTCAAACTCCCAGGGAAGTTGTTAGGAGTTCAGGGGATGTGAGCTAACTTCATTGCTGGAAAGGAAGCTATTTTGCTATTTTGTTTTCCATACGCAGTGTGAGCATCTATTGCCAGAGCAGAGGCTGGCAGCGTATCTATGACAACAGAAGACAGGATTACGCACTGAAATGGTGTGAGATCAAGTGCCGAGAGACCTATTACCATTTCAAAGAAGGTAGAGGTGCCAGTGGGCCTCGAGTGGGAGAGGGCAGTGGGAAAAAGGAGAGAATGCTGGACTTGTGGCTCCCAGGGCAGAGGTCACCTGCGGGGTAGGAGAAACAGGTAACCTCAACTTCTTGGCAGACCTCAGTGGGGATATTGGAGCTGGATTGCCATGGTGATTAAAGAAAGGGTTTTAGACGAGAGAATGGCTTGGGGAGAAAAGATACCATTGAAATGAACTGCGCACAAAGCATCCTAATCACTTTTGAAATGCAGCCCTCCCTCTGCGGGTTGGAGCTCGCAGGCAGCAATAGGGCTGACACTGTTCTGCTGCACAGCAGCAGCTGGCACCTCACCAGCCTGGTCAAGGTTTTGCATACATACAGAGAGTGCCCCACATACACAGGCACCCCCTGCTACTGCCTTCAAGTAAATTGGTGAGAGTCAGCAGCGCCCAGATCAGCATCAACCTCCAGGTTCTGCTGCGTGAGACAACGAGGGCAAGCTTTCTTTTCTCCTCCTCCAGGAGAGCAGCTGCTCTACCAGATTCCCAACAACAGTGTCCTCACCAGCAAGACTGGGCTTTTGTCCTGCCTGCGAGAGCAAGAGCGAGTGATGAAGAAGATCAACAGGAGCTCTAATCCCAGGTAAGAACTCTCACCTCATTGCACCTTGTGCAGAAGCACATGCCAAGCAAAAGAGAGAGTGTTAAAAAAAAGAGGACACAAAGGATAGAGGATTCTTTCTTATTGTCTAGAAAAATCATCTCCCCAGAGGAAAGAATGTGTCAGACAGGGTTTTCAGCCTGTATTTGATTCTTTTGTAGGTTACTGAAGATGAAAGAATTCTTTCCAGAATCTTTTCGCCTGGACTTAAAAGAAGAGAGAAATGCCTTTTTTGAGCTTTGCAAAGGTGAGTTGACTTAATCAAGGTAGCAACCAGCTGTTAAAGAGCTGTCTGTCCCTTAAGCCCATGAATATATACGGAGTGATACTCCTTGATACGAGCTGTGTCTATCGATGATGTACACGCAAAGCCCACTGACTGGAGCGTTTCACACCCCACGCCTCGCTGTAACAGACTCATTCTCTCTGCAGAAGAGGAGATTTGGATCTGCAAACCGAGTTGCTCTAACCAAGGGCGAGGAATATTCCTGCTGAAAAATCCCGATGCTGTCACCACCCTGCAAGCCAAGCTCTGCAGCTCTGAGAGAGACCTACCCAGTAAGAGGGTGCCCTGTGGGGCTCCCCAGACAAGAATAGTGCAAAGGTAGACATTGAAGCCTGGCAAATGGATGAGTAGCGTGCTTAATTAAGCCATTAAGCCTCCATTTATTATATTGTTCCGTCGGTATTTCATGTGTTTACACCACATCATCAACCTATACGATTTTGTTTAGTGGGAGACGCAATTTCTCTGGTTAGTCTGTCTTGTATCCACACTTCAGTCATTTCAGGGTGGATCTTTGCCATTAGAAAGATTTGTTTACCTTTGTCTGGAAATTTAAGGGTGACTTCAAAAGGCCAGGTGCTACTGTTCCGTGCATGACAAAAGCCTCGTGCAAAGTTATTTAAACTAGGTACTATCCCACCTTCTTAGACAAAGCAGGCATTTTACAAACCGTGCAGCTGTTCAATCCATTCCGCACAATTTAATCAAACCTCTCAAATATCTTCCAAAATCTGCCCCATTGCTATGGAAGCCTCGACCTCCATCAGTCGAGGCTAGCAGTCAATAGAACCCTGGATTTGGATTGTTTGCTTCTGCGTTCCTTGCAGGAATGAAAGAACCATCCAGGTTCTTCTTTGTAGAGCATGACATCGCTGTGGCCGTAAAAGCAGCAGTGCCACGTGCAGGGCTCTTTGCGCCCTGACATAAACTATGTTTACTCCCCAGCAAATATTAGTAAACCTTTACTTACCTTCCACTCCAAAGATTCAGCTCTATGCCTCTAGTCCATTCCCAGATGTTCTGGCTGCTCCTCTGGGCTCCGTCTGCACCTGAAAGAAGGACAAACAGCTTTGTTCTATGGTGCAAAACCAACTGGCTGCAGGGTTTTGTGTGAGCTTTGAGCTGCTATGTCTTACAGCTGTTGGTGACACGTCTTGACACCCTCACAGGTACATTGACCAACCTCTGCTCCTGGAAGGGAAGAAGTTTGACGTCCGTTCCTACCTCCTCATTGCCTGCACAGCACCGTATGTGTTGTTTTTTGCCCAGGGCTACGTCCGGCTGACCTGTAGCAATTACGATGCCACATCTGATGATCTGACTGTCCATCTCACCAACCAGGTAAACTCAGTGCATTTAGTTCAGAAGAAGAGCGGAGGAGTTGACAAGGAAGGGACGCAAAAGAGACTTTTGAAAGGCTGAAAATGTGCTTCGTGTAGGCAAAATCCATGCACCCAAGAAATGGAGGTGGGCTTACGGTCAGGCATGGCACCATGGCAATCCCCTACTGGAGGGGGTTCACTCTCTGCAATGACCAATTCTCTCTTTATGCTGACCATTTCTGTCCCTGGACCATTTTTCCTCCAATATTCTCTCGTAGACTATGAGTCTCTTAGGAGAAGCCTTTGCCTGTGGCCTACCTAGAACCAACCAACCTTAGTCTTGGCTGAAGATTTGGATGTTCCTCTTGTGCTAATTGTGATAATAATCATAATGGTGTAAGGTGCAGATGCGTTCTTCAGGAGCCATCATTCTTAAATCTCTGCCTTGGCTTCCCTTCCTTCTCTGATGAGGTCTATGCAACAAAACTGTTCTGGCTTATATTCCCATCCTACTTCTTAGGAAGCCTTTCTTATTTAAATCTACCTGAGTTTTTTGCCTTCCTGTGAGGCTCTCCAGTATTTAGAGAATCAGACAGAAAAATGGTTTGCTCGTAAAGCCCCTCTCCCACTATAATGCTGTGTTTGGGAACTGGCAAAATACTTCTAAGGGCAAGATATGCTTCAGACAAGCCCACTTCAATTCTTGTTGGAGTTTTATGGTTCCTGTACAAGTACAGTTCAGCACGGCAGATTATAGTTGCTTCCTGCAATATATGCTATTATCAGTGTGCTGCTTGTTTTCCTGGAATAGTTTGTTTGCTCAGGTAGAGAGCTATCCACACGGGAATTCAGGTGCTCGGGTAGGATCCCATGGCACAAGCCCTATTAAACAAAGGACAGGTGTTTATCAGCAGAACATGAATTATCTGGGAGGAGGGAAACAAAATCTACAGGAGCAGTTGGTAAGAGGCCAGGCTTCAAGTCACAGTTGATTCTGCCCCCGTTCCCTTCCTACCCCAGCAGTGATAAGTTCCATCTGACCTGCGGGTTAATGAGACAGAGGAACAGGCACCTGCTCAGGGTTAGGTCTGCTGCTGCTTCCCTCCACGTCAGTAACGTGATCCTGGCTCTCCCCAGCTCCATCCCTGGAACAAGGCAGGGTAGAGGGACGCCTGCCATCCATGTTTCCTGTTACTCTTTAATCCTCCCCTCGCTCTGCTCCCCACCTTGCAGTACGTGCAGAAGAAGAACTCCCTCTATGGCCAGCTGAAGGATGAGACAGTTTGGCAGATGGAGCATTTCAACAGCTACGTTAATGAGAAGTTTGGGAAAACCAATGGCCTCCCACAGGACTGGGTTTTCACTGTGTTTACTGTGAGTGCAAGCAAGTTCGTGGTGTGCTAGTCTGCCTAGCCTAATTAGGGTGATGGGAATAGGGAGAAAAACCTCCAGTTCAAGGGAGTCCCCAAGGAAACGTATGTACCAAGTGAGAAGGCATCGATGGTCCCATGGTAACTATTTGCCTGCAGATGATAAACAGAAGTCAAGACAGAGTTTAATTTCAATGGTTAATAAAATGGGTAAAGTGCTGGTAAAGGGAGGGGGCTTCCTTCAACTCAAAGTGGACAGACATACAGTTTCCAAAATACAGCCTCCATCCAAGTCTAGAGAGGAAGAAAAAGTGTCCCTAAGCCAAGAGAAGACCAATGACTTGCAGTGACTCCTGTGCCCTTGGCACTGGCAATGATTAGTTATCCCTGATCCCTATCTTTCAGAAAAGGATGCAGCAAATCATGTTGCAGTGCTTCCTGGCAGCCAAGCACAAACTGGATCGTAAACTGGGCTACTTTGATCTCATTGGCTGTGACTTTTTGATTGACGAAAACTTTAAGGTATGAGTAAAATATTGCCAAATACTAAGTATGATATTGGCCAGATGTCTAATGCCAGCAATGTAGGATGGTTGACATTGACTCTGGCACTAGAAATTAAACAGAGCATTCACTCAGCCGGCCATGAAGGGCAGGATTCATTTCTTTCTCCAGCTGCATTTTCCAACATCCAGATATGGCACCTATGCAGCCTGTACATGTATTGCACAAAGAAACCCTGGCATTAGCAGCTCAAGAGGGGAAGAAAAATCCTTAACTGCAGCAGAAATTGCTCTGTGCAGAATTTTCACAGGGAAATGGAGTAGTGAGAAATACAGGAATCTTAATATCTACTCAGTTCATAGAGAAAGTAAGGGAATTTTAATGCCATTCAATATTTTTCACTCTAGAAACCAAACATGACAGATAATCAGCCAGCATAAATCAGTTTGTAATGCCTGTAACGCCACACGAAGAATGCTGATTTACACAAGCTGAGAATCCAGGAGTGAATTTGCCATCACCACCCTGCGGAATCAGTCATTATCGATTCAGGTGTCAGCATCAGCACCTCCACATTCACTGCAGGTTTACCATTTAGCAAGAGGTTAGCCCGTCAAGGCTATAAAACCTGCTACGGAATTACAGCTCACACTCGTGAAGAGTGAACGAAACGCAGAGAAGGAAAGCCAGAAGAAAGGGAAATGTTCAGTGCAGTGATTGGACTGCTCTCAGTGCAGGCAGTCCTTCACAAGCACCTGGTCTAAACATAACAGAAAGCCATCTGGCAGATTTTGCTGTTGCTAAAGCAGAAAAGAACTCAAACTTATTCCAGCAAAGTGCAGTGGGAACAGCAAACCCAATGAAAGAATGGAATTAATGTATGCAGCACTGGGCAAGGCACGCAGACAATGGCCTCCTTTGTATGGGGAAGTCAATGGCAATGGGGAGCAAATGGGAAAGACACAGAAACTGGTGCTTCTCAAATTTCAGAAGCAATTGTCTTTTGCAATGTTGGCATGCAAAGCACTGGCTGTGCAAACTTGAAGCAGAATGGAAGATCCAATATCACTCTATTGTGGCAATCCCTACCTGGCCAGTTAAAAACTTCAGTAATTAAAGACCATTACATGCCCATGCATTTTACGTATGGAGAGAAAAACAAAATGTGTCTCTTGACAAGTATTTTGTAAAAACATGATGAGGATTTCAGGACACCTAGTGGTGATGTGGTCAGTTGGGACTGCCATCCTATTTGATGACACGTGTAGAATTTGCTTTGCATTGATTTTGCACGGCCTTGGGTTTGGTTCTATGCCTCATCATGCTATTCCCTCTTCTTTATTTTCCTGAGATAAAAGTGCCCCCTAGTATCACTCCTGATAATTTCTGCAGGCCCTGCAGCATTGCAATCTAGTTCTTGAAGGTGTTTTCCTGCCTCTCAGTTCTTAGGAGCATGGACCAAGAAAGCAGAGCCTGCAGAGAAACCACAGCTTACAGCAGAGCTTTGCAAACTTCATGTGCAGGATGAGAAGAGAAGGAAAGAGAACATGAATGATGGATGTGGTTTTACTGTTACTTTTTTTTTAACCCCCCCCCTTTCTGGTTTCTGGGGCTTTCCTGTGCTGCACTGTAAATGCCAAAGTTAATGCACAGCTTAGGACGCAGCCATTTAAGTGCCCAAGGAACCTGCCTTCAGAAAGCATTGCGTCAGCTGTGCAAAAGGGCTCTGCAAAGGAATGCTGGGAAGATAGATGCCTAAATTTTTTATCAGCCATAAAGGGATTCGGCTATCTATCACCAGACTGAACACAGATAAGCCATTGGCCAGTTTGTGACAGGTGCCTATAAAATAAGATAACCCTTGTTAAAGTAGGGATGGTCCCTTTGATTGGAATGACGCAGCTTTTCCCTCACCCCAGCACTATCAGACACCACATGGATGCTGCAGAGCTGGGAGTGCCACTGCAGGTCATCAGCATGAGAAATCTGACAAAAACCAGAGAAAACAGAACCCCATTGGTTACCAATGGCTTACCAGATGCAGGGAGGAGGCTCAGGTGCTCAAATCCTACATGAAATCCCCATGAATGACACGATATGCTGGATCTTGACTTTATTCTCTGTGTTCTTCCTGAAACAGAACAAAAGAGGTTAAGAGCATTTAAACAACTGTGACACGCTGTGGTACAATAATAGGGAGTGTAGGAGACAGACAGCATAATAGATGTGAACACCTCCTCCTGTTTGTTTTGAAGGAGAAGAAATCAAAACCTAGTCAAGACAATTACAAAGGTTCACTGAGTTTGTCTGTCAGCAGAAAACCTTCGCACTTCTAATAGGAAAAAGGAAATTTGCTCAGAAATAAGGGAGTTTGCCAAGAAAAATAAATGTGACTTAGGTGCCCTCTGTTGGCATCTGCAGAGCAGGTTATTTCTCAGCAGTTTCTCTCTGGAAAGAAAAAAAAGAAAACCCACAGACATTTCAGCACCCTCACTTACAAACCTTCTCTGAAATACGGTACTGAAACAAATGTGAAAATTCTTGTTGCATTTTATTCTCAGCAAAACGAAGTGCAAAAGTGAAAGCGGTCCTGTTGCCAAAACCTACCACCCACATTTCTCAGTTACTTGCAGGCAAACTCCCTGCTGCTTCAGGAAAAGAAAAACAACAAAAAAAGCACGACCGCAGTGTATGTGTTTTTAAACATCAATTAAAAGGGAGTAAAATTCGCTTGGGGCTGTTGAATGATTAAACATCCTTCCTGAAATAAACATCAAATAGTTCCTATACGTCGTCTTTGCAAGACGCAGCACCATATGGCAAAGGCAGGAAGCAAACAGATGAGTTTCTCTCGTGGCAGGAAAAAGAAATAGTAAACAGAATTGCATTGAATTCAACCGTTTGCTTTCACACAGACCTGCAACTGGGCCATCACGTGCCACAGCTCAGAGCTGCAGACTTCAGCGTGTCAAAGTAGAGCTGAAATGGGTGTTGGTGTGCAAATCACTTGTATGGCTTCTACCTAAAACCAAAGCTTACCCAGGAAATCAAGGCCAGGGGTTAATTGAGAGCTTGGTGCTGTGTTTGCTTGGTCTTGACCCCATGTCCACCCCGAATCAAAGACATGACTACTAGATTCCTTGTAACTTCCTATAGAAACTGGCACGATAAGAGACAGAACAGTGCCTTAGCACACCCACAGAGCAGGAGTCTAACCTGAAACATAAAATAATACGTGGCGTTACTCTAAAGTAATGAAATGTAATGATTCCTCCAGTCCTTGTGAAAATGCTGCCTCACCTGCACTCCGTGCTAGAGGATCGTGTTGGGATTTATAAGTACTCCTGCACTTCCACTGCTCACTAAGTCAATAAAATGGCATCACTGCAGCTCTGAGGAGATCCAGCCTGATTTCCTGGTTGCCATTCACCTTTCCTAGGTCTGGCTTCTGGAGATGAATGCAAACCCTGCATTGCACACCAACTGCAAAGTCTTGAGAGACATCATCCCCAGCATCATTACCGAGAGTCTCGGTAAGCAAAGAAGTCACAGAGCGGTCAGTAATGAGCAATCACATCACAACACTGCTTGGCAGAGGAAAGGCTCCTGTTGATACCATTTGTAGCTCCAAAATACAGAATATAGAGATCTTGCTGCCGAGTTTGTTGCTGATACAAAAGGCAGTGAAAATTCTACCCAACGCAGACACAGGAAAGCTATGGTCTCATTAGAAATAAGTGGTTCCTTTTTTAAAAAATATTATTTTTAGGAATAATATGGTGAGTTTGGGTGCATGTTGCCATCAGTCCACTTTGTAACTGCAGATCTCTTCCAGATCTGGTTCTCGAGATCTTCACCAAGTGCCTCAAGGGACAGAAGGTGCTGCCTTTGAAGACACTCTGCCACTTTGTGCTTCTCTACAATGAGGATGCTGCAGACCTGGGCCAGAAGCAACCTCTGAAGCTCAGCACCAGGTCGTTCACAGGAAGGTACCTGAGGCCACACACAGACAGCACCAGGCACTTCAGGTACAGCCCTGCCAAAACTGCAGGCCTGTCCCCAGCAGCTCAGCTGCTTCAGAAGAAAGAGTGCTTTGCTGCCTACAAAGGGCTGTCGGCGAGCTGTCCTAAACATGCTGCACGTGCAACAGTTTGATCTCCACAGATAACCACACTGAGTCACAGAGCAAGAGGGTTTTCACAACTTCAGGGAGACAGGAAGAAAATAAAAGTTAAGCTCTATGTGCTATGCATGTTATGCTCTTTTTCACCCGGTAGAAACAGACTGGTATCAACCTCAGCTAAGAAAACCAGTAACTGTGAGTGCCAATAGTTCTGTAGAAAGCAACGCTTCCATCAGTCAGCCAACAGAGAAGTTACAGAAAACGAGACACGCCAAACCCCATCCTTCCAAAAGCAATGCTGACCTGACCCTGCAACCCAGAACACTCAATAAAGCCCTTTTATGAAGAGGCAAGGAGAGCTGCTGAAAGACCAAATCCAAGGCTTAGCGCAGAACCCCCTCAGCTGGTCCTGCAGCTGCCCATAGCTTGTCTCCAGCTGCACAGCCAGCTCCTCCCTCACCAGATGTTCCTCACACATTTAACCTCATTTCACTAAGAACTCTTTCGGTTTTTGTTTGGCTGAGGTGACAGCTACACAGCAGCACACGCTTATCGCATCAGGCCATCGGCTCTGAAGGAAGCAGCGACGCCTGGGGGACCTAGGAGACAAGAAGGGGGGAGAGAGCTTTAAAAGCCACAGGAAACGCTTTCACATCCCGGGTGCTGCCACTTCTAAGCTAAGAAGATGTAAATGAACAGCAAGGTGCATGCGTGCTTCCTTCCTGTGCTCACCCTGCCTGCCATTCATGCCATCCCTGCGCTGCAGCAGCGCTTTGAAGACAGCGCCGGAGGACGAAGCGGCCGCTGAGCCAGCATGGGATGCTGCAGCCTGAGAGCCAGGCATGCTGGTTCTGCAGGAGAAAGCCAGGATGAGGTGGAGCTGTTGAAGACAGGCAGGACCAGGTAGGGAGCAGGGCTTCGAGGGGTGAGAAACACTGACGGTCTTTGCGCAAACAGAAGGGCATTTATTGCTGGCAACTGTGACCCGGTGGCTGTTTTTGCTTGCTAAATATGACTCGCTTGAGAGCTTTCTCTTCTTCCCCTTTTCTAGCCAGAATTTACAGTAATGCTAAATGTCAGATACTTCTTCTCAACAGAGCCTGCTTCCTTCTCCTTAACAGGCCCCATTAGGTGACACAGCCTCATCTCCTCCTGCCATGGAGGCAACCCTTCTATTGGGGCAATCACCACCACCCCCAGAGCTCGTGCTCTGTTGGAAGCAGATGGTTTTGGACCCCATCACACAGCAGGGTCAGCCTGCAGGCCTGGCAGGAGGCTCAGAGCCATCGGCAGCCTCAGCCCTTCCCACATCTTGCTTGGCAGATGCCCTGAACTTCCAGTCACAAAGGTTCAGCAACATCCCAAATAAGCCATGGTTTCTCCCCCTTAGCTAACCCCCAACGCAGATGAGGCCGTTGTCTGTACCTCCTTACCTACCACAAAGACAAATAAAACACATTTCCCCTCCTCTTTCTTGTGGTCTTTTACATCTACACTGAGCTGCATTTCGTTCCATAATTTCACCAGAAACTGCTATTAAGGCAGGTGCACAGAGTGCCCTCAGCATCTCTGCAAGTCCTTCCCACACAATGCCAGGGGAAAGCTGGGAGTCTAAAAGCTCTGATGAATTTTAGGCCATGATTCTTGCTTAAAGTAAAGGGATCTTTGACAGTATTTTCATTGTAACTTCAGCTTTGCTATCCTTGACATGCCTGTTTTCCAATTCTGCATCTGCTGCATTTTTTTTCCCCTAGATTTCACTGAGCTGCACCCAGCCGGCATTCCAGCTTAAAATAGAATACTCTGTAATACACAAAATTCACGCCAGAAATCCAGAAGTGTGTCTGCTGACTGAGCATGAATTATTCTCTCTTTCAAACAACACACGTAAATGCTTTCCTATGCCTTTCCACAATCTCTTCCATTACAGAAAATGGTCCATTTCAGATGGCCAGAGTGAGGGATCCCTCCAACCTAAGGACCCTGCAATTCCCACAAAGACAGAAGGGGTGAGTACGATACACAGGCAAAGATTCATATGTAGTACACCAGGGAAGAAATCAGTTTGTCTCAGTTTTTGCTCAACAAATTCACGTGCGAGAAAGTCCATCATCATATTTCCTAGGAGCGTGCTTTATCCTATTGCTGAGAGCATGCACTGAGAGAGGGAATGTTCTATAAAGGCACATATATATGTCAACATCCAAACCTCCTGTGGTCTGGACTGTAAAATTACCCATTCTCTCTTTTACCTTATTTATATATCAGCATCGCTTGACTCTAGATTCCATTTTTTCTCTTCTGATTTTTCTACAGCATGATTCCCAGCATGATTTCAGGAAGAAATACTCACTATTTTGTCTTTCTTTTTTTTTCCAGGCAGAAGCACTGTGGGGAAAAACACAGGAAGAACTGCTGGACTTGTTGATCGCTCAGCCCATCGCTGGCTGGGAAGGCAGGAAAATCCTTTCTCCTGGGGAGATTGTTTGGTCCTCCTGGGTTTTTCTGAGAAGTTATCACATGGAGGTAATCATCATGACACTACGACCACGGTAATGTGCAGGGGATTTTTCACTTGGGAGACAAAACATGAGCTACATTTGAATTTCAAGTATCCTGTCCAAATTACTGTCAAACCAATGCTTGACCAAAGCCACAATTTGCCCTGGCTTCCCCCTGTTCCCCCCAAAAGTTAACGCTGTTACATTCAACTTTCATTCCACCAGTGGCAGCAAGAGCTGAAAGGATCTCATAGCCACTTGCTTGAGCAGCATGACTTTTTGTTCATTCACTCTGATAAAAATGCCCTTCTTGTCAGAAGGCTTTTTTTATTCTTCTCCCCTAAGAGACAACATTGTGATGGTTGCAAATTTGTACGTGTGACGCTCAAGCCCCCTCCACGGGAACTGGAGCTGAGTGGTGACAGCACTGAGGTGTGACAGCCATTACAGTGGTGTTGCAACCAGAAGAGGGAACTGAGACCAGTCCTGACTTTGCCATGGACTCACGCCTCTTTTAAGCACATGCTCATTTATCTGGGAAGACAAAATAAAATTACAAAGAAGAGTCATAGAATCATTTGAGCTGGAAGGGACCTTTGAAGGTCATGTGGTCCCACTCCCCTGCAGGGAACAGGGAAACCCACAGCTAACTCAAGTGCTCCGAGCCTGGTCCAGCTCAATCTTAAATGCTTTCAGCCGAAGTGTGATGTAGTAGTGCAGGCCAACCCAGCAGTTAGACACTGCAGAGCTCCCCATCAACCTGCAGACAGCTGTCAATCAATCAGCACTGCATGTGGTGATGTACCAATATTGCATGAGGAGAGAGGAAGGGAAAGTGGAGAGCTTTGAAGAAATGCAATTTCCTTTTCCTTTAAAAAAAACAAATATTGAAATGTCGTGGAGGAAAGATGTGACTGGTCTTATTCCAACAGGAGATGTCTGAACGCTACCTTGTGCTGACCTCCTTCCACTTGCTGATTCTTTCTGTGGATCACACAAAGAAGGCATTTGTTTATGAGGTAAAGCACAAGAATCCTTCTGTGTCTTGCAGTCACGCTCACTGTCAAGATTTCCCAAATATCTCTTTGCTCACAGCTCTAGCATATGCATGGCAAAAGGAAAGCTTCCTTCTCGGTGCTGTGCCAAGAGCAAGGCTCAGGATGGAGCTCACATGTTCTGGCCCCATCAACTAAGGCAGACACTTCACTGGTTTCAGTGGAGTTTTGGCATATTTTCTAGGACAGTAGCTCAAAATTCTCTATTTTTTTTTCAGCTTATTTTGAGTAGGGAAGAGCGTCTGCTCCAGAGATTGAAGAGGAAGTGCCAGTTTCTATTTATATTATATTCTGTAATTTTAGCTGGCCTCTTATCACAGCCATTTTGCTTCCCCAAGGAGAGGGAGTGCAGCTCCCTACCAGAGAGCTAAGCATCAACCAGAAGGCGTCAAGAGAAGGTGATAAGAACAGGAGGCGACAGGAGAAGGAGAGTTAGGAAAGGTACAGGAGTGGGCAGGCACAGGGTAGCAGAGAGATGCATCCAGGAGAGCAGCCCTCAGCACTGCAGTGCCTCCCAGTGGCGTTGGTACATGTCCGTGGATCCTAAATGTGAGGGAAAAAGACAAATTAAGAGACTGCAGGAACTGAGCTGTGTAACAGTGGAGATGATAAAATTCCACGTCCAGCTGAGTGGAGCAAGAGGATGGCACAGAAAAGTGATCATGTAATGAAATAAAAGACAAAATGAGGACAAGGTTGCTTTGTCCTTAATATGAACAGCTTCTTTTCTGGCATGGCTGGGGAGCATGGAGGAGGAATTAAAGAGGCCGCAAGGCAGATGAAATCAGATCTAGCTCACACACAGTGCTTTCCTACATCATTCTTGGCTATTCTTACCAATTGACTTTTAACACCTTTCCCATCACACCAGGGTCTCGTTCCTCTTGCTGGGATGCACCTGAGGGAGGTTGTGACTGCCATCAGCTGCACGTTTGAAATTTCTGGTAAGCCTGCTGGACAGCTTCTGTAAGGGCTGCAACAGTCACAGAATTCACCCACTGGGTTCAAATGCCATCCTTCTTCAGAGGCAGGGCACGTTGTGTCTTTGCACAGGGCCCATGATGGAGTCCCGGCTCATTTGCTGCCAAAATTCAGCCGACTTTGACAAATGGATTCAACACCTCCAGAACCAAATCAAGATGGCAAATGCCAACTACTCAGCCAGTGCCACCAATAATATCTCTTTCCTGGTAAGTCGGTGGGGAGTAGATGTAAAGAGAAGGGGCTGAAAACAGGAAACTGTGGCAGCTCTGGAAATGGATTTTCAGAGATGTTTAGAATACGGGCTGAAACTGAACAGTAACTTTATTCAAGAATGCTGTAGATTCTATCTGGGCTAAAATAAACTTGCTACCCACAGCGCTTTATCACCAAACACTTGCAAATGCTGCTCTAAGTTCAGGAGAGGTTTTTGACACGCTGCTGATTGTTTTTCTTCATGAGATGTAGCT